AAAGACGTGGAGAGTCCTAAAACTCTTCCAAAGTCATAGCACTGAACAGCAGCATCTAAAGAAATTCTGCTTAAATGTTTGGGTTAGGATCAATTTATTTGAACACTTAACACAAGATTCTTGATGCAAAGCATGTAAAATGTGCTCATGTTGAACGGTGTCTTCAAATCTACCCCTGTGCCAGAATCTTAGCAGTAAGCAAGATCAGGTGCTAGGATACCCAGCATGACATTTTATAGTAAATAAATAAATAAATAAAACCTAGGAACTAAGGAGCCCTCATATGGTTCATTTTTTAGTCATTTTAAATATTGATTTATGAGTCTATATAGTTTTTTGTTCGCTATCTTTTTTTAAAATATTTATTTTATGTATGTGAGTACACTGTAGCTGTCTTCAGACACACCAGAAGAGCATCGTATCCCATTACAGATGGTTGTGAGCCACCATGTGCTTGCTGGGGAATTGAACTCAGGACCTCTGGAAGAGCAGTCAGTGCTCTTAACCTCTGAGCCATCTCTCCAGCCCCACTATCTTTATATATCACCTATATTCAGTATATATGCTTAACCACTGACCATGGAATTTTTTTAATCAAGTCTTATAGTGAATATTTAATGTCTTGCTGTGTATTTTACTTGGTATTGCAATGAAAAATTGCCATTTGATAACCTACACTGTTCTGGAAGCATGACTTTGACAAATAATGTCTCCTGATCAAAAAAAGCCTTAGGGTTAATTTAATGTTCACATTCTAAGGTGCAACTTAACAGGGATGGCATGAAAAAGACAGGGAAGTAGGTATTAAGAATGTTTTAATACCTTTATCTTATGCAGAACATGTAGAGAATGCCTCTTAATACAGAAAATGATTATTATAGGGCAGGGATGTCTTCTTCCTTTGTAGACGATTTGTCCACCCACCTATATTTGTATTTGCATGTATGCACACATGCAGATACATGCCATGTAGGGGACAGATACTTTGGTTTTCTTGTTCCATCATGTAGAGTCTCTGGGATCAAATGGTTTGGTCATCAGTCATAGTTGTAAGTGCTTTTATCACTGAGCCATCTTGCTGACCCTAGAGATACTTTCTTATTGTGGCTAATTCTAAATCATAAAATCTCTGAAGTTGTTTCTGTATTTATCAGAATTACGTATTTACCAATGCACTTTTTTGTCAACATATCTATGTATTGAAGAACACTGACAGTTAAAGTAGAAAGAAACACTGCATGGAATCACATCGTGGCTTCTAAATGTCTCATTTCTGTCTGTTGCCAACGTAAATGCAGTTCCATCGATGCACAACTGTCAGAATTCATTCAACTGAATATTTAACTCATACATTTTATTTGTTCATTAACTGTACCTCAGTTTATATTATAGATATGTAACTTTTCTAGCCCATATATTAAGGTGGTAACTGTTCACAACTTTTCATTTATAAGTAACAAATGTCAGCAAAAAGATCTCTTCTAATTATTTTATTCTAAACACAAGATGTAGAATTAGCATTAAATGCAAATATGTGAGAAAATTCAGATCTTAATGGCCCACTCAGACCGACTGAATGAGAATATAGCTCTTAATTTTTAATGAAATACTCAAGTGATTAGTAAGTGCTTTTGAAGAACACTGATATCTAACAATATTTATGCTATGTTCAAAAAGTTCTACGTTTCTTTTTTAAAAAATTAAAATTTATCATTACTGTGCACATGTGCATGTGTGTCTTACACCTGTGTGGAGGACAAGGGGCAACTCTTTGGAGTTGGTTCTCTCTTTCAGTTTTGGAATTTAACAGTTCTGGAATTGAATTCAGGTTGCCAGGTGTGTGCTACCTTACTCTGCTGAGGGTCTTACCTGCCCTTTGTCTTACAAGAAACGCAATTGAGAACTCCATAATATAGAGCACCATGGCTTTGAAGACGAAGAACCTGAAGGCTCTATTCTCTTCCTAAAACTAGTTTTATTTGTCGCTGAATGCTAGGCACTCTGCAGCTATCTAACAGCTACTTTCCTGGAACAGCTTGTCACCCTGACACTGTCATCTCATCTGGACGCCCCTGAACAAGCACCCTATACCTAGTTAAATTTTCTATGTCTTTGAAGAAAGAAGAAGCTTTGTAAAAGTAACATTGGATGTCAGGACACCAAGAAGCCAGAGGATCTCACATAGAGATTATACTGAACACCATTTTATCAAAACATAACAGACTTTGAGTCAGTCGGGGGATTGATGCAAACATTCAACTGAGTATGACTCCCACATGACCTTGAGGATCTCTCTGGAATTAGTAAAAGGCAAGGAGAAATTCTAAAACTTGTGCTGTAAGCTCATAAGCTAAGAAAGGATATCAACTCAAACCAAAAATTTAACATAAAAGACACACCAACCTTAGTTAAGGCTAATAGGTAGACATCAGAGGAGAAGAGAATGCCTAGAATCCAAAGAGAAATTTGCTTGTTTATCACCATACCTATCACAGAATACTGGATCACAGTGGGATGGTTTGAAACTGTTCATCTTTAGAATTTAGCACTTCCTAGACAGAAATAAATGTCTTCTGGATGAAGAATTTATTAATTAGCTAGTACTCTACCATAATTCTAATATGAATCTTTTATTTTTTAAAAATTATCTGCATCTTAACGCTGACAAAATTCTTACAATGATGAAAAGGTGGCAATACATCAAAGGACTATGTCTCCACACTGAAGTAATCCCACCAGTCAACAAAATGTACCTGCCTTTAAACTTTAAGAACTACTGCAGTGTACTCATGATGAAATTTTCAAGTAGAATTTTATTTAAACTATAATATTGCCTCAGTTAAGTGACCTCAGGTTTTAAAACCTAAGGGAGCTAAAGAGACGACTCAGCAGTTAAGAGCACTTGCTGACCCTCCAGAGGAACCAGGTCCATTCCAACACCTACACGGTGGCTCACAACTGTCTACAACTCCAGTTTGGGGATCTGATGCCCTCTTTTAGCCTCTGATGGCATCAGGTATACGTATGGTATACAGATGTACATGAAGGCACAGACTCACACACAAAACTACCATTATTCATTTAAAAAATTTTAAACAATCCATGTGCATGAAAAAAGTTAAGAGAAACTACCAAAACCCAACGCAGCTGCCATCTTGTTTCTATAACCCTTCATGACCTCCTGTCCACTGATATTTAACCCTCAAGTTGGAAAAACGTCTTGAAAATATTTGCTCTATATTAAAAATTAGTAATATTTTTAACCATACATTTATTATTATGTGCTAGCTTCCTGAATTAGGGGGATTCTGGCCTTACTTTTTGCCCATGTGTGAAAGCCAAAGTCTCTAACAGAAGAGCGCCCCAGAGATCATTTATTTTATACCAACATTCTTGCTTTTTCAAGGCAGGGACTCATGATATACTCTAGAAGTAACAAATTATTTTTTTCCTGCTTCTGTTTCTCATAACAGTTTGGATTGCATGCACCTGTCATCTTGGTCAACTATAATTCTTTCAGTAACCATTTTAATCCTCCAGTAACACCCTCCTTTCTTTATCTCCCCTCTCTTTCTCCCTCTTGCCCCCTTCTCTGACAATCTCTGGGTGGCCTGGAACTCAAAGAGGACCTCCTGCTTCTGCCCCAGCACTAGAATTAAAAGTGTGTACTACCACACCCATAGCTGGCTCTCTTTTTTATCTCATTTGGTCACTAGCCATCCTGAAAGTACAGCATGCTTTAGCAGCAGCTATTTTGTGCATTTGAGTGGCAACTGTATGCAGAGTCTTTCCACTCCAACATGGGGAGGTTTCCACAGAGAACTATAAACACTGACCTCACGCTAAATAATTTTCAGTGCACCCTCAAGGTATAATAACTTTCTCACAGTCAAAGAAATCAACTATGAATAATAGTACAAAGAAACAGTGAAAATATTCATAAAAGACAACACAAAATACTCTCTAGTATTTCAGTTGACTGTTTCTTCTAGTTATATTCTAGAGGGCTTGTCTTTAACAACCTACAACTGAGGGGACTGGATAAGTGGTTTAGTACTGGCTAAGAGTACTGGCTGCTCTTCCCGAGAACCTGATTTCAATTCACAATACCCACATAGCAGCTTGTAACTGTAACTCCAGTTCCACGGGATCAACTCCCTCTTCCACCCTCTGAAGGCACCAGGCACACGTGTAGTGCAGACAGTCATACACAAAAGCGTATAACATAAAAATTAACAAATCTTAAACAGAGAGTACAGCATAGGAAGCAAAGGGAAGAACATTAATTCACTCATCCATTCAAACAGCATCTTGAACAAGCACTGATAAGGGTGACGCCTAAGCAGGGCAAGCAATGACATAAGATGGCCTCTGAGTTAAGTGACTCAGGATCCACTCAGAAGTCACTGTAGGGTTATGACTTTCCCCATCACCCATCCAGCAAGTCCTCTCATAAGTCTGCTACACTGAATCACTGTTGTACACGGTACAGATACACCACTAAGCAGAGCAAAGTCTTGCCCTTGTAAAGTCTCTATTGTAGTAAAGAGAGACAAGGAGGCAACATCAGGTGAATTTAAAGGAAAAAAAATGCTGACATAGTGATTCAAACCATCAACCTAGCATCAGGGAAACTGAGACAGCAAGACTGTAGTAAGTCTGAAAATAGTCACCATATTAGCCAAGGCTACAGTGTGAGACTCCACTGGGAAACACAAAGGAACCATAGGGCCCGGAGATGGAGACTGATGTATCTTCGGTATTCCTAGCTAGCCTGTGTAGACAACTTCATTGATCTGAACTAAATAGAACTGTAGTGTCTCAGAAAAGAAAGGGCCCCATGGAACACCTGAGGCTGTTCTCTGGCCTCTACACACATTCAGTGGAATTCTGGAGTTTCAAGTAGAAAAGACAAACCATTCTATTTATTTAGTGCAAACACTCACATGTGCGAGTGACAGAAAGCAACAGCTGTGTCTATTAGAAGATGACATTCTCACCTGCTCGATCTCTTTGGTTTTCAATGCAATGGCTTTCGAGCGGCTGCTAAGATGGCTGTCTTCATACATTTCTGTACCATCTGTTGTGTTTGACTCAGGTTCTTCTGTCTGGTCAATAAATAAGGGTGCTGTGGATCCCGCCTAGGAAAGAGAGAGAGTTCAGTTATTTTCTTGAAGAACAGAACATCTGAGATGGTGTATATGGTCACTAAGAGAAGATTATGTCAAAAGGAAGTGCTATTTAATCAATTTTAAGAAAAGAAAATGTATACTGTCATGATACATAATGAGTATATATGAGGAAGACTAGGACGTGATTGTTACTTTTCTCAATTTGTTGTGAGACACAAACTAAAAGAATGAAACAAAGAGCTGGTTCTATGAAAAAAAATTACCAAGTGACAGATGATTTGCCAGATTAAATAAGAGAAAGGAAGGAAAATCCAAATGAGTAAAATTAAAAATGAGAAGAAGGAAGGCATAACAGATTCCTATGAAATTCAGAAAACCATAAAGATATAGGTTTTAAAGCTCTATTACATTAGGGGCTGGAGAGATGGCTCAGCAGATCAGAGCACCAAGTACTTCTGAGGTTCAAGGTTAGTTCCGACCACTCACATGGCCACCATTGTCTGTACCTCTGGGCCCAGGCACATACATTCAGACAAAAACTCATACACATAAAATAGATAAACAGTTGAAAGGGATCCATTTATCAGCAATAAAACCAGAGCAGTAATCAGGTCTCACAACTAACAGAGGTCCACAACCAGATAGATGTGCTCACCCCAAAATTCTATCAGAATGCCAATACTACTTAAACTATTCCATAATTGGAAAAACCAAACAGAAGTCTTCCAAATTGCTTTTATGAAGCGGTATTATTCTGATACTAAATCCAGACAGACAGACAGACACACACACACACAGGAAAAAATTTACAGAAGGATCTCCCTGATGAGCACAGATGCAAAATTCTTAACTGAACTTAAGATCACACCATGAAGATCACTCATCAAGACCAAGCTTGCTTTATTCAAGAGATGTGGGGATGGTTCAAATATGTAAATTAGTACAAGCTGTCCGTCAAGTAAATGTACTCAACAGAACATATGTGACCATCTCCTTAAAAGCATCCTTTCGTGATAAACGTCACAGTGACTTAACAGAGGAAGCCTCTCTTGACAGAAACAGAGATTCTGTAAACAGATCTAGTCAGTCATCATGTTGTTAAATGAAGAAACTAGCATTCCATTACGGTCAGTAGCGAGGCAAGGGTGCTCACTGCACCTACTACTATTCCATGGAGAGCTTGAAATCTCAGCTAGAACAGTAAGACAAGCAAAGGAAACTTGTACACAATATAATTCTGTACACAAAGTCCTAAAGACTATACTAGGTTGCATTCTATTGCTGTGATAAACACCATTACCATTCCTTTGTAGGGGAACAAAACAGGTGTATTTAACTTAAACATCCTACTCACAGTCCAGCACTGAAGGAATTCCAAGGCAAAAACTAAAGCAGAAGTCATGGAGGAACACTGCTTACTGGCTTATTCAGCATGCTGTCTCACACCCCACGACTACCTGCTTTGGGGTTACACTGTCACCCAATAAGGTGGGCCCTCTCACATCACCTGATCAATAAAATGCCCTACAGGTCATATGTCTGTGTGACTACTTCTTATGTCCATGAAATACCCAGCTGGAGTTAGAGGTAGCTGTGAGTGACCATGTGGGTTCTGAGAACCCAATATGGGTAAACACTGTTTACCACAGAGCCATCACTCGAGCTGCACCACATCATCCCACCAAATTCTAATTGTTCACAAATACTTCCAGCAGATTAACAGGATATAAAAGTATCTGAAACCTTGAAACTGTCTAGACCAGTGGTCATAAACGTTCATAACTCTGTGACCCTTTAATACAGTTCCTCATGTTGTGGAGATCCCCAAGCATAACATGATTTCGATGCTACTACATAACTGTGATTTTACTACTCTTATGAATCATAACTCTTTTGAGATGGTCTTAGGCCACCCTGTGAAAGGGTTGTTTGATCCCTACAGGGGTCTCTACTTACAGGTTGAGAATCACTGTGCTTGAGGAAAAAGAGGGGGGTAGATGGCACCAAATAGGCACAGGTAAAGACACTGGGAAGAGGACCTGGCAGTGCAGGAAATGAAGCCAACAATGAAAACACTTCTGTATAGTAAAGGAAACTGCCAAGAGAGTGAAGAGGAAGTCCACAGAATGGAGAGAAGTCTTTGCCAGCTATACATATACCAGAGGACTGGTGTCTACAATATACAATGAACGAAAAACTTAAACATAAAGAAAACAATTTTAAAATGGGCTAAGGAACTGAAAAGAAGAAATCCAAATGGCTAGTGAACACTTAAAAATCTTTTCAATATTCTTAGTTATAATGGAAATACAAATGAAATCTACTCTAAGATTTGACCTCACAAAGACAGAAAGCCCATCACCATCAAAAATACAAATGGTATAGATGTGGAGAAACAGCAAACAAAAGGGAGATAACTCAGACATTCATAAACAAGTCGTTCTGGACGCCATGGCTACCACTGACCAATGCAGCCATTTGGAGATTGACCCTTTCATCATGCATGAAGACATGGTTAGAATGGTATTGTATACACATGAATAATCTTGCCTATCATAAAGCCTTCCATGCAAACTGGAGATGTAATCAGCAGGCTCACCCAAAGAGCTCACAGCCAAAGAGGTGGGAGGAGCAAAGCCAAAAAAAAAAAAAAAAAGTTTGTTTCACTGGTTTTTTGTTTTGTTTTTCCCCTTGAAACAGGGTTTCTCTGTGTATCCTTGGCTGTCCTAGAATTCACTCTTTTGACCTCAAACTCAGATTTATCTGCCTTTGGTTCCCAAGTGCAGGAATTAAAGGCATGCGCCACCACAACTAGACAAACAAAGTGAAATTAAAAAAAAAAGTCAAGATACACACTCCTCCTCTGTGGGTAAATTCAATAATCCACAAAGATATTTCCCGAGCACATGCTGAGGTATTTGTTGCCTTTTTTATTTTAAAGATAGAATCTCATACACACCAGGCTGTCCTCAAACTTGCTCTGATGCTGACCTAGGTGATCCTCTGCCTGTACCTCCCTAAACACTGGGATCACAGGTGTGTGCTAACACGTAGGACTTCCATCCATCCAGTTTAAAACCCGGACAAAACATCCAGGTATGAAACATAAAGGTGAAATTAAACGTTACCTCAAACTCAGAAATTTCGGCCAAGTTATTTTCGTCTGACTTCTCTAGTGTTTCATTAGCCCACTTGCTTTCAGCCTCAGCAAGTTCCTTCTCAGTTAGCCTGCTGGGTTTGTCTAACACCTAAGAGAAATGGAGAGACATCTGTGTTAGCATTCTTAAAGGCCTCTAACATCAGGAAGCACCACACACTGAGAGCAAGCACACCCCCTTTTCACTCCTTCAGAAACAACCGACAGAGAGCCAGGCCCTTTAACACGTTGTGTTCTTAGCATAAGGAAGGCTGAGCTGGGAGAACTGCACGAGCACAGCTGCAGAGGGAGACAGTGTCTCAAAATAAAAGAACAGAACACAAAAGCAAACCCAGACCCTTTACGTAGCAATTCCTGTAGGGCACACGGACTGCACACACATCACTCACAATTTCATTTACATAAAACTTCAAGACCGCAGTGTAAAAACCATGACAAATATAAGAATTGTATTCAGGATACGCCCAACATTACATTGATTACAAATCTTTATCTTTAATTTTGTTCAAATGGTTGACGTTTACTAAGATAAATGTTTTTAACTGTATTTTTTTTTGTACTATGTACCAGTGATTTTTTACCAGCAGGTATGTCTATGCTCCACAGGAGCTTGTCCGTCCCCCACCAGGCCTGAACAGGGCACTGGGTCCCCTGGAAGTAAAGTTACTGAGGTTGTGAGCCGCCATGTAGGTAGGAGTGGGGCCTGGGCCTCTGAAGAGCAGCCAGTGCTCTTAACTGCTGAGCCATCTCTCTAGCCCTAAGGTAAATTTAATGTAAAAGAAAGGCCCAAATATGCTATCTTTATCATTTGTGATAAATTATATAGAGCATACTTCTTGCACAAGAGGTTAAAGAGTTGAATTTCATTGTTTTGGCGTAACACTGTTCTCTTTCTATACCAAATACAACACAATCAGAGCATGGGCTGTGGAGGGACCAGCAGATTACATACAGCATGCAGTGTTGCTCAATCACTGGTTAGGACTTATTTCCTTTACAAAACAGTTGTAAGAATAAAGATAAAGGACTTTTAAAAACCTGTGTCTGCCAGGCGGTGATGGTGCACACCTTTAATCCCAGCACTTGGGAGGCAGAGACAGGCAGACTTCTGAGTTCGAGGCCAGCCTGGTCTACAGAGTGAGTTCCAGGACAGCCAGGGCTACACAGAGAAACCCTGTCTCAGAAAACAAAACAAAACAAAACAAACAACTAAAAACCTCTGTCCGGTACTTTCTGCTCTCTGTAGTCACCGACAAAGTTTTTATACTAAGACAGTTTGAAAGAAGATGAGTGAGTTCAGGGAGGCAATGCAACAGCAGGGGAAGCACCGCTCCGGCCAGCTGGATTCCAGGAAGGAGGGAGGGAGGGAGGGGGCAGCAGAGCCTGAGCCAGAGCCCAGATTAGAGATCCTTTCCTTAGGAAAGTCAGGATGCACAAGCCAGACCATTTCCTCAAAGTGCTAGCTGCTCCTTGTGTACCATTCTTCATGGTGGCCTGCTGACTTCATCTTATTTCCTAGAACAACTTTTACCAACTACAAGGCTTCACCCCAACCTGATCCTGTCTTCTCTTAGAGTGTGTCCCTGACTACAAATACCTCCCTTCTCTTGCCAGTCTATGATTAACCTTGATTTTCAACGAAGGAATATGGCATCACCTAAGAAATATGCCTCTGGGGGATCTGTAAGCAGCTTCCTTCCAGGAAGGGCTGACGGGGCTGGGAAAGGCTTGTGCTCATGGGGCCTTCCAACAGGGAGCCGGACCAGAAAAGGCATTTCTTGAAAAGGTCCAAGGAAAAGGCAGGGCTACGGCTGCTGTCCTCCCAAGATAGCTGAGCCCGTTTCTCTGGCCTACACTGAGGTCACTGGGGTATCCAGTGATTTGGACTGAGCAGATCTCACCCTCAGCCTGTGCCATGTGCTGCTAGCCACAGACTATCCAGCCCTATCACGGAAGCCAGTGTAGTCAGTGCTCACTTACGTTCCTTACCATGTGCACTGAACCGGTTCTATTCAGTACTCTAAAATGCCTTGCATAATGCACAGTCCCAGTGAAAACAATAGAAACAGAGAGACCTCAGCAGTACTGCTGCACTGCTAGGAATGAAAGACTTCTGCACACAAACCAAAGAACATTCTGATAGAACTCCTTCACGGAAGGGGCCTGGACAGTTAACAGAATGATGGTAACTTGTCTAAACTCACTACCAAATACTGATAGAAGGGGACACCCAAGCTTCAGCCATACCCGATTAAGCTCAGCAAAGCACAAACTGACCATGGGTAATTTAGCATGATCATGATATGAGTGTTTGTATGTACACACGTACACACACAGCATTGTGAAATATTTTGCTTCAAATAATACTTAGACTATTCTGACTCAATAATTGAGAGAAACTGCAGGTTTCTGTGAACCTAGGAATGGCACCAAAAAGCTGTCTGTTACTTTACTATAAGACATCTACATAAGCAAAGTAAGAAAAAGCTATAAAAGAGGCCTTTTTTTCATGTCTGTCTACTGAAGTTTATTACAGGACAAATGCTTGGCCTAGAGAAACAGCTGTACTATTCTTCAGAGACTCTACCTAGGAAAATTGGTCTGCATAATTTGGTTCCTAGCTCATAATCATCTGTAACTCCAATTCCAGGGGCTCTGATGATCTCTGGCACTAGCACACAAATACATAATTATAAAATAATCATCATTTTTTAAAAAGCAAAACCAAAACAAGACAGCCAATCTGAGTCAGCCCTAAGCTTTTAGACCTCTGTGCACTGCAAGATATAGTATCAGCTGGAGGCCGATGCCTTCTGTAAGTGATGCTTGTCATTATGGCTCCCACACACATAATACAAATTGTTAGGGTTATCGTCTGTTCATCTTCCTGTCTCAGCCTTCAAGTACTGGCACTATAGGTATATAGAATATACAGGTATAAGGCACCTACACAACTCAGAAGGTTAAAATAGTATTAAGAGAATATATTAATAGAAATATAAAATTTTTTTAAAGAAAACAAAGGCATATTAAAAAAAATGTACACTTAATTTTAAAGAGAGGTTTATGTTTTAAAAAGGGCTATAGAGCAAAACCAAGCTAATGATTGCTAAGCTCTTGTAAAAGGTAAAGCCATAGTGTGTTTGTAACAAAAAGCCTTTGGCTGAGAAGGTAATCTTAAGAGCTCAGGAGACTGATGCAACACTATTAGGACCAGCCTGGGCTACTATTTAGTAAGTTCCAATTTAAAAGACATACATAAAAGAGCTGGCTTTGTAGGGCTGGGGATGTCCACAGTAGTAAAAACATCTGTCAAATATTGGCAAAAAAAAAAAAAAAAAAAAAAAAAAAAAAAATATATATATATATATATGGCAAAAAAAAAAAACCAGAAAACAACCTGACATTCCAGAAGCCTGAGATTTCCGAGGGCCCCAGTGATAAGATTTGCCACAGAAAAAGATCACTTTTTCCCCTCAGGATGAGAGACTGCTGCCCCCTGTAGACCAACACCAGATTGCCAGGTGATAACTATTTTTGCTAAAAAGTCAAAAACATTAAAAGAAAAAATGAAAAGTGGAGAGTATCTAAACAAGGTCTGATCAGGGGAAGGCTGTGAGACTGACAGAGGTAACTAGGGGAAGACCCCGGGCCCCACCTTCCCCACACAAGGTACACAAGGAGCAACTAGCACTCTGAGGAAATTATCCGGCTGTGAATCTTGGCTTTCCCATAGAACTGAGATTTAAACTTAATTACAGAACTTTTCTATGAGTTAATAAAAGAGGAAATGCTGAATATAAGAATTGAGGAGTTTTAAATTCGTGTTACACTTCTGCCTATGTCTCAGTGCTCTAAGTCAAAGCAGGTCCTGTGAGTACACACTCCATCTAAATCTGTTCCCATTTGGTTATTGGAGACGGGCAAAGGCCACATAGATGACTTACAGAAAAAGATCAATGAGAAAAATGATCACTTATTTTTCAAGCCTTGATAACTTAAAATTCAAGGTATCCACGGTACCATGTGTGCTGGGCAATCTATCATCTTCACATGCTATTTCTACCTAACTTTAAAAAATGACAAACCTTGGATGAAGACACTGCTGAGGAACTTGAGGGTGAAGTATCTCTTGAAGTTTTCAAAGACTGGATGGATCTCTCTTTACCTATGTAACAATGCCGAGAGAATACAGGAAAAGAAACAAAGTAAGACGGGTTCTACTTCAGGTGTCCCTAATTCTGTAGCTGGGTTAACAGGGAAAGCTAGATGTGTACTCTAATAGTGAAATTTCTTATCACATTACTGTATTAGCATGGAACTCTACCTCTCTTAGTAACATCACAAAACATTAAGGTATAACTGAGAATGAGATAACATCATAGATCCCAGCGATGTCAGCGGATGACCACAGAAATGCTGAGAAAGGCAGAAGACATTTTAATTAGTGTGTCTCCTCAGACTTCCGTGCCACAGCAAAGCAATCTTTAGAGACTTGGCTTTTAACCACCTAGGGTGGTATTAACACCTCTTTTCCAGGTCATGAAGACAGGAAGTCTCTCTACACCAGACGCTTTCAGCCAGGAAACAATTCTGTTCTTCCCACCTCAGTCTTGGGCAGTGTGTAAACCACAAGGTTTCCTGTTGCTGATAATCTTTAACATATCATAGTATAAATACACAGAATGTTATTATAGTTAGTATGTAGCTATCACAGGGCTTTCAGTTAAGGGGCAGCCCAAAGAACGCTATACACAGGTAATTTAGCAGATACTCTTAAAATATTCACACCATTTAAAAGAATTTAGAAACCCATTAATTCAGAACACTGATCCAGAACCTGGCATGAATGATGTTAATAATGTTTTTGTTTATGAGATAAAGTCATCATCATTAATTATTTCAGATACTCACATGACGTTTCATGGAACCATTTTTAACAGAAACATAGACAGAAAATATATTAACAATATTACTTTAGTAAATTCAACAACCAAAAACTTATTTAGTTTAGTTTTTAGTTAGCTAATTTAGTTAAGCTAATTTATTTAACTTTTACCTTCCATTCAATCCTGTAGTCTTAAATTCTGAAACCCTAGACTACTATTAACACAAAGTTGTTTTAGAAAGTGGCCACACTGATAGATGCTGCTGAAGCCTGGAGAGGGGAGGAAAGCCAGGAGAACAGGCAAGAGCAAAAGCAGACACCCGCCCGCCCACCTGCGGAGCGAGCACAGCAAAGCCAGCTTTAAATGCTGGCTCTTTAAGCTTCCTTGCTATAGCTAAGCAAGCTCTAAAGACCTGGGGTGGGTTTTAAACAAGAGCTCTTCCCAAGGTCCTGAAGACAGGAAACCACTCTACACAGTGGCTCTCAGCCACAGGACAGTCTTGTTCTTCTCACTCTGGTCCTGGGCAGTGTGTAAAGATATTCTGATTGGGTCCGGTTAGGGAGTAGCACTGACTTATAACAACTGCAGGCCCAAAATGATATGAGAGTCTTCTGGGGGGACAGCCCCACCATCAACCTTATCAGAACCATCCGCTTTACTGTTGCTGAGTCTGAGTGAGAACCTCTACTACTCCAATTCTGAAGCTCCAACAGGTTTTTGGCTCTAGATTCTTGTGGTACCACAATCCTGGCACCGTGAGTTTCAGGCCAGCCAAGGCTAACTAGTTGAGAACTAAAAATAAATTAGTCAAGAGCATTCATTCAGTCATTCCTTACTGTATTCCTAACTCATATATACTACATTGTAAAGTCTATACTACTGCCAAAAAGCACCTCAAACAGCAACCCTCAACTTGTAGGTCACAACCCCTTTGGGGTTACAGATCAGATATTTACATTTTGAAATGATTTCAAAACAGTAACCAAATTACAGTCATGAAGCAGCAACAAACTAATTTCATGGTTGGGATCATCACAGCATGAGGAGATGTATTGAGGGTTTGGCAAAGGGTACCGACTGAGAACCCTGTCCTAGAGGAACACATACCATCTTTTTAGTAGCTTTGGTCTACTTAGCTGTTAGGAACATGAGTGGGCATTAGAAGTCGGTAGAGAACTAATGTATTTCCTACACTTAGGTTACAATGTCTTCTCTACCCTATTCTGCAACAGTCCTTTGAAAGAAGATAAGGTGCTGGACCAATCAGCACAGAGCAAGCTACAGAAAAGTATAATTATGTCAGGTAGCTAGCTACGTAAGAGTAGGCTTGAAGGTCAGGCACTGGGAAATGACCTCTCCCCCAAAGACAGCAAACTGCAAAACTAAGAAGTAAAACTGGAAAACTCTGATTCTGGGTCAAAGATTGGTATATGAGTTCTATAATTGTCCCTAATGGAGATTGGCATTCTGACAATCCAGAAGGTCTGAATATCACTGTGGAGCTACAGGAGATGGACATGTCCTTGGTCCACTTCCTTAAAACTTAATCCAAATGGGTTTGTCAATCACTTGTTCAGGAAAAGACCCTTCTGAACAAACTACCCATCCTAGAGACCTTAGGAACACTAGAAAGACTGTTTACAGGGAATGGGCGATGGTCCCTTTGGCCACTGGCCATTATCACCCTTCAAGTGTGCTCCTTTCAGTTCTGTAATCAACCCCACTGTCATCTACTATACTACCCACTATCTTCTGAGTGGCTCGTCTGCTTTCAAGGTCACAAGGATAAAAAGCCCAGGGAAGGCCAGAGCGGAATCATGGTGCCAGTTACATATTTAATTTTAGCATGCATCAGCTAGAACACAGGAAAAAAAACAAAAGCAAAACACAAACAAACAAAAACCCAGCAACAACACACGCAGAAAAGATGGCAAACAACTGTCAATGTCAGACTTTGCCTTACAGACAGGACATTACTATTGTAGCTAGGCCAGGGACGATCACGTGTAGCCCAAGAACCTTTCCTAATTTCAGATGCTTGGCTAACAGAAGCAGACATAACCAGTCTTGGTATGCAGAAGCAAAGGACTGCTCAGGGCAAATCTCACACACTCATTTATATCTGTTACATAAATGAGTGGACAAGCAAACAGCAAACGACAAAGACATAAACACAGATGACAGCAAAAACCACAGAGTGAGTAGAAACCTCTAGCTCCCTCCCACTGACAAGGTCTTCTTCTACAGGTTCTGTACACCCCTGGCAGCTATTCCTGACCAGGAACGGCTGGCCCTGACAATCAACTACTGTATTGCTATCCAATCCTGCTGACGGGAGACTTGAGAGCAATAAGATACTTTCTCCATTTCGACAACTTCTCAAGTCAAACCTCCCACCCTTCAAAATTCCAGATGAGAACCTACTTCCACACTCACCTCTTCCTCGAACTGCTTCATTCTGTCGTTTGTAGGAAGCACCGACACGCGAGGACTCTAGGGAAAGGTGGCAGGGAGGGATTAACACCAGCAGCTCTGTGCCCAGAGGAGCAAGGGAAGAGCCCAGAAGACCGAGCAAGGAGAAAAGGGCTTCTGAGCACTTGCTGGTGATACTCAACTCCTAGCCTGCTTCAAGCTGAGCCGCCTAAGCAGCCTTAACTGAAGAGAAACCAAGGTAGAAAGGAAAGAACCGAGCGGTCTGCATACTGAAGCAGACACTCAGAGAACAGACACCTGACTGTTCCTAAAAACAATCTTTTTAACAAAAAAGTCTATGTATCTAGATTACTAAAGATACAAAGAGACTTTGTATGAGCCTCCTAAACCTGCCTTTAAAGAGTATCTAGTAATTATTTTCTCACAAGAAAGAGACTGGAGATTAACAGTCCAGCCAGACACTCACAAGCTGTCTCAGAGGGCTACTCAGAGTCTACCTGAGACTGTATGTGTAACAAGAAAAGCTTTCTTTTCCATGTGTCCAACCATTCAAATGCCCACAGTTTAACATCTCCCCCCTCCAGAAACCAGTAACCTGCATTCAAAAAATTCTATAAAGTTCAATTATCTGGCCCTTGATGTGAAATTCCCATGTGTACACACACAATACATTGTATGTCTTTTCCCCTGTTAACCTGTCTCCTGTCAATTTGTTTCATAATTATAAACTATCAGAGAATATAGAAAGAAAAAGTTTAATTCCTCTATGAAGTTCACCCAAGTGGAAGAGGCTGGGGAGGAAACAAGCTAAGGATAGCATCAGAGGACATAAAATAGTAAGTGGGAAAGTACAAACATTTGTTCATACAATACCCATAAGGTTCACATTAAGATGTGGTGCAGGATCACATGTCAGGTGGGGAGGGAGGCAGGCAGTCAGTCTCCTGGAAGCTAAGTCACCGTTAGAACTAACACAGTAACAGGAAAGTTGTCTGACTTGTTCTTAATAACAATACTCTAATAGTACGATATCTAAAACGTACTGACTTCTCTCTACAAAGTCTCTCGCACTCGGATTTCATCCTGACTGAACCCTTTATTATACTGTATTTAGAATCTCAAAACATTTCGAGAGCTTCTTGTAGAGACAAAAAGACCAAAAATAAGGGGCCCCAAATAAAAGGCAGAGTCCCTTCCTCTAACAGTCAGACCCTCGAGGCTCTAATACCATCCCTAGTTCAATCTGTAACGACAAAAGGTGCTCTGATGTAGCCCACAGAGACTTTATTCACACAATGCAGAAAGGAACTGACGAATGAGACCCTAAGTCATAGCTATAAAAACATTATAAAAGAAACGTTTTTGGATAAGAAGCCAACCATTTTTTTATGGTAAATTTTATGGTTTCTATCCTAAAGTAAAAGATGATTATAAATGATTTTAGGGGTGGAAAGAAGTTAAGAATGCACAGGCTTGCCGGGCGGTGGTGGTGCATGCCTTTAATCCCAGCACTTGGGAGGCAGAGGCAGGCGGATTTCTGAATTCCAGGTCAGCCTGGTCTACAGAGTGAGTTCCAGGACAGCCAGGGCTACACAGAGAAACCCTGTCTCAGAAAACAAACAAACAAACAAAACAGAGAGAAAGAGAGAGAGAGAGAGAGAGAGAGAGAGAGAGAGAGAGAGAGAGAGA